CGGAGCCCAGCAGGCTGAGGCTGCAGTGGCCAGGAGCGGCCACTGCACTCCAGTCTGGGCGATAGAGTGAGACGCCAACTCAAAAAAAAACAAAAAAAAAAAACATTAGTCGGGCACGGTGGTACACACTTGTAATCCCAGCTACTCTGGACGCTGAGGTGGAAGGGAGACCAGGAGACTGAGGCTGCTGTGAACCGTCATCATTGTGATCGTGCCACTGCACTTCAACCTGGGCAATAGAGTGAGACCTCCATTCAAAAAATAAAACAAAATGTGAAGTGAACAGGCCAGGTATGATGGCTCACGCCTGTAATTCCAGCATTTTGGGAGGCCAAGGCAAGAGGATTGCCTGAGCTCAAAGGTTTAAGACCAGCCTGGGTAATTTGGCGAGACCTTGTCTCTACAATAAATAAAAAATCTTGCCAGGCATGGTGTGTGTGCCTGCAGTTCCAGCTACTTGAAAGGCTAAGTTGGGAGGATCACCTGAGCCCAGAAGGTTGAGGCTGTGGTAGGTGTGATGGTGCCTCTGTACTCCAGCCTGGGCAACAAAGTGAGATTCCAACTCAAAAAAAAAAAAAAAAAGGAAAAAGCCAGATGCTGTGTTGTGCACCTATAGTCCTAGCTACTCAGGAGGCTGAGGCGGGAGAATCACTGAAGCCCAGGAGTTTGAGTTCAGCCTTGGAAACATAGCAAGACACCATGGGAAAAAAAAAATCAGCCGGACTCAGTGGCTCAGCCTGTAATCCCAACACTTTGGAAGGCTGAGGTGAATGGATTGCCTGAGCCCATGGGTTTGAGACCAGCCCGGGCAAATTGGCAAGACCTTGTCTCTACAACAAATCAAAAATTAACTGGACATGGTAGCACGTGCCTGTAGTTCTGGCTACTTGGAAGGGTGGGGCTAAAAATAATAAATTTGATGGGAAAGACAAGTGAAAAGAAAGGAAGAAAGGAAAAGAGGAAATGAGAGAAGGGAGGAGAAAGAAGAAAGGAGAAAACCTGACTTCAACTTCCAGCTCCAGTGCTCACTGGAGTGCTCACTCCGGTGCTCACTGACTGAGGTTCGGTGAGACTGTTTCTACCTGCTGAAGTGATCTACAGAAGTATCACAAGACGTGCCTGTTAGCTCAGCAGTTTCAGACTTGACTAAAGCAAATGATTAGCTCTAGGATACTCCACAGTGGGCCAGGCAAAGCAACAGATACCTGTGATTGACAGTACCTGAGAATTAAAGAGGTGGGGACAGTTTTCCCTTGACGTCTGTTCTTAGGCAGCAGAATCCCAGCAGGGAAGATGCCCAGTGATCAGCTCCCTTCATGGTATCCAAAAGGACCTGGATAATAGTGTCCCATGCAGAGCACCACCTTTCCCACACAGCTGAGGCTGTTAGAATGTCTTGCCTCAATCAGGATTATCTTGAGAATAGGGCAGAACAGAGACCTGATAGAAACTTCAGTGGACCCAACTGTGAGGAGTATGGCCCCGAACACTTGTACACCCATGTTCATAGCAGCAAACACCTGGGAGGGGAGTGAAAGGACAGACTGAGAGCCAAAAGCCATTTTTCATCTTGTTTCTAAACCTTAAGACAATGATGACAAAGTAGAAGCTATGTTTTTGGAGAAATGCACACTTTAGGCAAAATTAACTTTGCCGACTTTGTTTTTTCAGAAACAGACTTTCTGGTGCCAGGTATCAGAGGTATCTCATAGTGGCAATCAAGC